GACATACAGTGAAAAGCAGCGACCAGGTTATCTGCAGTCTGCCCATGCCTCTGCCCTCTGCTCAGTTCTGTCCTAGAAAAGCTGCCACTCCACGTGCACATGTGGTTTAAATCTATTGTGGCTCACAGCAAAAAGTTGCTACAAGGTTATCTGCCCTCTGTGCTCACCTCTGTCCCTGCTGTTGAGTGCTGCCCAGTGGCTCCCAGCTGGCCTTTTGTCCTTGGAGAGACAAAATATGCTCTCCCAAATATAGTCCAGGAAAGGGGGCAATTTCTCCTAGTGCTACCGAGAGGATCTCCTCACTTCCACTAATAGTGCAGTCCCGACCCACTGCTCTTTCCCACTCTCCCTCTCCCTGATTTTGCTCTGCAGCTTTCCTCTCCCCCAGTTCATGGTTCCAAACCTTGCATCTGCCACATTCTCTCCCTCCAACTGTGCAGATTGTTTTCTTAATCCAGATTGAATTCCTAGTTGTTCAAATAGTCAGATGTTGATCTAGCCAGGTTAGAGGGATGAGGCAAGCTCAGGGTCCCCCTGCTACTCCATCTTCCTCTGACCATTTTTAAATCAGATTATTTGGTGGGTTTTCTTTGTGTTGTGTACGTTCTTTATATATTTTGGATATTACCCCTTATTGGATATATTATTTACAAATACCTTCTGCCATGCAATAGCTTGCCTTTTTGTGTTGTTGGTTTCCTTTGCTGTGTAAAAGCCTTTAATTTCCATGTAGTCTCACTAGTTTAATTTTGCTTTTGTTTCCCTTGCTTGAGGAGATCATCCCTAGAAAAATAATGCTATGGTCAATGTCAAAAATTAATGATGATGTTTTCTTCCAGGAGTTTTATGGTTTTAGGTCTCACATGTAGGTCTTTAATCCATCTTGAGTTAATTTTTGTGTATGCTGTAGGAAAGTGCTCTGGTTTCATTCTTTTGTATGTAGCTCTCCAGTTTTCCCAGCACCATTTGTTGAAGAGATTGGTTTTTTCCCCATTGTACACTCGGGCCTCCTTAAACATAGATTATTGACCCATATAAGCATGAAATTACTTCTGGGCTCCCTACTGTGTTCTGTTGATCTATTTGTCTATTTTTATGCCAGTATTACACTGTTTTGATTTACTACAGCTTTGTATAGTTTAAAATCTGGGATTTTGATGACTCCAAGTTCTTTGTCAAGATTTCTTTGGCTATACAGAGTCTTCTGTTGGTCCATAAAAATTTTAGGATTATTTGTTCTAACTCTGGAAAAAATATTGGTATTTTGGTAGGGAGTATAATTTGTAGATTGCTTTGGGTAGTATGGACATTTTAAGGAGTACAGCTCTTTTGCCTCCTCGGTTAAGTTTATTGCTAGGTATTATAATATTTTTGGTTCAACTGTAAATGGGATTTTCTTAATTTCTCTTTCTGCTACTTCATTATTGGTATATAGACATACAAAAGATTTCTGTATATTAATTTTGTATCCTGTGAGTTTACTGAATTCATTTATCAATTCTGGTAGCTTTTTATAGAGTTTTCTATATAAAGTAACATGTAATTTGCAAGTAGTCAAAGTTTTCTTCCTTAACAATCTAGATAGGTTTTCTTCTTCTTTTTTTTTTTTTTTAAGATTTTATTTATTTATTTGACAGAGAGAGACACAGTGAGAGAGGGAACACAAGCAGGGGGAGAGGGAGAGGGAGAAGCAGGCTTTCCGCCTAGCAGGAAGCCCGATGTGGGGCTCGATCCCAGGACCCTGGGATCACGACCTGAGCCGAAGGCAGAGGCTTAACGACTGAGCCACCCAGGTGCCCCTGGATAGGTTTTCTTCTCATCTGAAGCTATGGCTAGGACTTCCAGTACTATATTGTATAGAAGTGGTGAAAGTGGACATTCTTGCCTTGTTCCTGATCTTAGAGGAAAAGTGTTCAGTTTTTCACCATTGTGTATGATGTTAGTTGTAGGTTTTTCATATGTGATCTTTATTATATTGAGGTATGTTCTCTCTAAACCTACGTGGTTGAGAGTTTTTATGAATGGATGTTGTATTTGTCAAATGACTTTTCTGTGTCTCTTGAGATGATCGTAATGGTTTTTATCCTTTCTCTTCGTTATGTCATATATCACATTAACTGATTTGCATTTCTGGAATAAATACCTCTTGATGGTGGTATGATTTTTTTTTTTTTGTAACTGTACTGTTGGATTTGGTTTGCTAATATTTTGTTGAGCACTTTTGCATTTATGTTTATCAAAGATAACAGCCTATATTTGTTTTGAGGTGTCTTAATCTAGTTTTGGTATCAAGGTATTGTTGGCCTCATAGAATGAATTTGGATGCTTTCCTTACTCCTTTATTTTCTGGGATAGTTTGAGAATAGGTGTTAACTCTTCTTTAAACGTTTGGTACATTGCAGCTGAGAAGCCATCTGGTCCTGGACTTCTGTTTTTTGGGAGTTTTTTGATTACTGATTCAATTTCATTCAATGGTAATCAGTCTGTTCAAATTTTTATCCCTCATTGTTTTGGAAAGTTAGATATTTCTAAGAATTTACCCATTTCTTCTAGGTTATCCAATTTGTTGGCATATAATTTTTCATAATAATCTCTTATCCTTTATTTCTTTGGTGTTAGTTATTACTTCTCCTTTGTTTCTGAATTTGAGTCTTTTTTTTTTTTTGAGGAGTCTGTTTCAAGTGTTAATGATTTTATTGATCTTTGCAAAAACCTTGCTTTCTTTTGGCTTCCATTTGTATGACAGAACAGTCTATCTTAAGTTAATGGTCATTTAAGTTTAAAACCATTCTTTACTCCTCTCCTCCCCACATTTTAGGTATATATTGTCATAGCTTACATCCTTTTGTGAGTTCCTTGACTGATTATTTAGAGAAATACTCATTTTTACTGCTGTTGTGTTTCCTACCTTCATGCTGTCACTTTGGTCCTTCCTTTCCACTCACAGTCCCCTTTATTATTTCTTGCAGGGCTGGTTTACTGGTCATGAACTCCTTTAGTTTTTGTTTATCTGGAAAACTATCTCCTATTCTGAATGATAACCTTGCTGGATAGAGTATTCTTGGCTGCAGACTTTTTTGCTTTCAGCGCTTTGAATATACCCCGTCAGTCCTTTCTGGCTTGAAATTTCTGCTAAAAAATCCACTAAGAGCCTTATGGGGTTTCCCTTGTATATAATGGTCTTTTTCCTTGCTGCCTTTAAAATTTTTTATCACTTGATTTTGTTATTTTAATGATAATATGTCTTGGTGTAGGTCTGCTTTTGTTGATTTTGCTGGGGGTTCTCTGTGCCTCCTGCATCTGGATATATGTTTTCTTCCCCCATTTTAGCAATTTTCAGCTATTATCTCTTAAAAGAAAATTTTCTCTCTTTTCTTCTGGGACTCCTATAATGCAGATGTTACTACATTCGATGGAGTCACTGAGTTCCCTAAGTCTATTCTCATTTTGCCTTTCTTTTTTCTCGTTTGGTCAGCTTAATTACATTACTGTCTTCTAGGTCATTAATTCATTTCTCTGCTTCTTTGATTGCTATTTATTGCATCAGGCATGTTTCTAATCTCATTTATTGCACTCTTCATCTCTGATTTTTTTTTTAAAGATTTTATTTATTTATTTGTGAGAGAGAGAATGAGAGAGAGCACATGAGAGGGGGGAGGGTCAGAGGGAGAAGCAGACTCCCTGCCGAGCAGGGAGCCCGATGCGGGACTCGATCCAGGGACTCCGGGATCATGACCTGAGCCGAAGGCAGTCGCTTAACCAACTGAGCCACCCAGGCGCCCCATCTCTGATTTTTTTTTTTTATCTTTGTGCTAAGGGTCTCACTGATACCTTCCATTCTTTCCTCCAGTCCAGTGAATAGCCTTATGATCATTGCTTAAGTACTCCCTCAGGCATATTACTTATATGTTTCACTTAGATCTCTGTGGCCTTGTCCTGTTCTTTCATTTGGGACAAATTTCTCTATCTTCGTATTTTGTCTAAGTCTCTGTGCCTGTTTGTGTTAGGAAAGTCAGCTATGTCTCCTGTTCTTTAGGGTAATAGCCTTAAGAAGATGTCCTATAGTGTCCTGCTGTGTAGGGACCCCTGTTCTCTGGTGCTTCTGGCATTGTCTGCAATGTCTGCTGCCTGTGCTGTGCTATTTTGTCTTGGCTGGCTTTTCCTTTAAACCTTCCCTCCGCAGAGGCTGTGTCGGCCTGTTGTGGGCAGTGTTTGGTCCCTGGCCTGAATTTGGCACATTGTAACTAGGTGTGCTCTGGTCTGCTTATGAAATAAGACCTATCACCACTGCCACCAGAACCAAGGCCCTGCAAAACTCCCAGTTGGGAAATGTGGTGTTGGAAGAGATTTGGACTAATGCTTGGGGGGCACAACTGGGACTGAGGCAAGTATGACTGGGAAGGGCAGTTCCACTACAGCATGGGAGGCTGGGACTTGGTGTAACCAAGTTTGGTAGCAAGTGATGGCACTGAGCTGGTCCCCCCAAGTGGTCTGTGCTTATGCTAAGTAGTGGAAAAGGGAAATGGCACCTGCCAGTTCCTTTTTTCCTAGAGGAGTCTCTCCATGAATGTTTGCCTGGAACACACTCTGATAGAAGCAAAAAATCTCCCCACTGTGCCCCAGGCACTCTTCAGATCACTGTTTCCATGCTATATGTCTGTGGGCTGTGTGCCCTGTTTTCTCTCCAAGAGCAGTGCAGTGCCCTTTGGGGTCTATCCGAGGCAAGCCCCCTGACCTTTAGAACTCAATGCATTAAGCCCTGCTGGTTGCAATAACTCAGGAAATTCAGCCCCTCTTAGAGGCTTTCCAAGCTAATTGTTGTGGGGATTTGTTTTCCCCTGCACTCCCATGTGCTAGTCTATCTCTCCCTTGTCCATGACAGTGATTTCCTCCCCACTGTAGCAGCCATGATCCATTTTTCTCCCAAGCCACATCTCCTTACTTGCTACCTTCTTTGATATGGCCTCTTGTCTCCCTTTAGTTGTGGTTTGTTCTGCCAGTCTTCAGGTCAGTTTCTGGGGTATTTGGGATGATTTGATAGTTAACTTAATTATATTTGTAGGTCGAGGTGAGCCTACGGTCCTCTTACTTTGCTGCCATCCGTTTACTTTGGATTCCCTTTTCTTTATTACAGGTTTTCAATTTGTTGTTGTTCGTAAACAACTTAGGTGTATAGTAGTCTATTTTAAGTTGATGGCTGCTTAAGTTTAAACCCATTCTCAAAGCATTTTTTACTCATTCCTCACATTTTATGTATATGATGTCATTCTTGACATCCTCTTATTTTGTGAAACACTTGACTGATTTTCTAGATAAAATTTATTTTCCTGCATATGTGCTTTAACCTCCATACTAAAGAGATTAATCTACTTTTGTTTGCATTTATCTGTGAAGTTTTTCCTTTTATAATTTTCTTACTCCTGATTATGGCTTTTCTTCCCAAAAAATTCCCTTTAACACTTCTTGTAAGGCTGATTTATTGGTGATGAATTCCTTTAACTTTTGTTGGTCTAAGGAACCATCGCTCCATCTATTCTAATAGAGAATTTTGGTGAGTAGTATGTTCTTGGTTGTTTTTTTTCTTTTCAGTACTTTGAACGTATCATGGCACTTCCTTCTGGTCTATAGAGTTTATGCTGAAAACTTACCTGCTAGCTTTATGGGGTTTTGGTTGTATGTGACTTTTCTCTTCTAACTTTAAAATTCTCGTTATCAGTACTTTCTGCTATTTTAATTACTATATGCCTTGGTATCTCCTTGGGTTAGGTTGGTTGGGGTTCTCCATGCCTCTTGAATCTGGAGGTCTGCTGCCTTCCCCAGATTAGGGAATTTTCAGCTATTATTTCTTCAAATTTTAGTGCCTGCCTCTCTATTCTCCTTCTGAGATCTCTATAATGCAAATGTTATTATGCTTGATGATGTTGCTGAGATTCCTTAATCTGTTCTCATTATTCTTTTTCTCTTTAGCTTGGTTGATTTCCATTACTCTCTCTTCTATGTCACTGATCCATTATGCTTCCTCCAGTCTATTACTAATTCCCTCTAGTGTATTTTTAATTTCAGTTGAGTTCATCGGTTTTTCTATTTTCTATCCCTTTATGAACATCTGAGATCCTCCACACTTTTCTCAAGGCCATTGAGTAGCTTTATGACCATTACTTTAAATTCTTTCAGGTGTATTGCTTGTCTCCATTTCATTTAGTTCATTTGCTGTGGTTTTGTACTGGTCTTTCATTTGGCTCATTCCTCTCATTTGTCTAACTCTGTTTCTAAGTATTAGGGAAGTCAGCTATGTCTCCTGCTCTTGATGTGGCCCTAGGAAGAAGAGTTCCTGGGGTGCCCTGTTGCACAATACCCCCTGTTCACCAGGACCAGGTGCTTCAGCACTGTCTCCTATGTGGGTTGTTTTTGCCCTACTGTTGTGAGTGACCTACATTTGCTTTCAGTTGCAGTCAGTTGCAATAGGCTACTTTGCCTGTTGTGGGTACACTAGTTTGGTCCCTGTGCTGTTAAAGGGCCAGTGCAGGGGCCACAGTGGTCCTACAGTTGGATGCTGTCAGCAGTCAGACCAGATGCCTACCCTCAGCCCTTCTGCCAGGGCTATAGTTTCATGGACATGCAAAGCATTTTCACTTCCTTGTCCCCTGAGAGGCTTTTGTTGGTAGGCCAGGGCCTGCAGTCAGGCCCAATGCCTGCTCCCAGCCTGTCTGCTGGGACTGTGGCATTACAAGTGTGTGTGGTTATCTTCCCCTCTCCTTGAGACAGGATTCACTTGAGTGCTGCCAGTTCCTGCTGGGGCTGGTTGCAGGGTGTGCTGAGATAGAAGCTACATTGGAGACACCTGCCAAAGGGGATGAGTTGGAAGGGGCAGATATGCAGAACATGGGGGTGGAGCATGAAGTCTTAGCAAGATAGATGGAGAGTATACTTGTTCTAACAAGTGTCTGGCTGTCTAGCCTGGGGGTGGAGGGAAATGGTACCTGTCAAATATTTTGTTCTTGGAGAAGTCTGTCCCTGCCCCTCCAGGACACATTGAGATTAGTAAATAACTCTTCATGTATACCCCAAGCACTTTTCAAATTGCTGCTTCTATGCTGTATCTCAGGCAGGTTATGGGCCTTTAAGGGCAGGGAATCAATTTCGTATGGCCCTCAGCTCTCCTGAAGCTAGGTATGTGAATTTTAAGTACTCGGCGTTAAGCCCTGATGATTGTAAAACTAACAAATTTAAGCACCTGTGGTTTTCAAAGACAAAGGTTAAGGGGACTTGTCTGACCAGTGCAGGTCCCCTGTGCCTGGAATGCCCTGTGTGGAATCTCTACCGTTACTGGTTAGTCTGAGGGCTTAATTCTCAACCATGTCTCCACCCCTCCTACCCTTTTAGATGTGGCCTGTTATCTACCATGAATGGTGGAAAGTCTATTCTACTGGTCATTTTCTGAGTTAGCTTGCTCATGTGGCTGTTATCTCAGTGTGTCCCTTGGAAAGGGTGAGTTCAGGATCTTCCTACTCCACCATCTTCCCTGAAGTCCTTCTCTATTTTTCTTTCAGAAATTAGTTTCCCTACAGTGGCTACACTAATTTACATTCCCACTAACAGTGCACGAAGGTTCCTTTTTTGCCACATCCTCACCAACACTTGTTTCTTTTTGATTCTAACCATTCTGACCCGTGTTCGGTGAGAGCTCCTTGTGGTTTTGATTTGCATTTTCCTGATTATTAGTGATGTTGACCATCTTTTATGTGTCTTTTGGCTAGCCATCTGAATGTCTGCTTTGGGAAAGTCTCTTCAGGTCCTCTGCCACCCCCCCTTTTTAAATTATTTGGGGATTTTTTGGGTTTTTTTTTTTTTGGTGTTGAAATGTGTAAGGTCTTTACATATATTTTGGATATTAACCCCTCACTGTATGTATCATTTGCAAATACCTTCTATGCAGTAGCTTGTCTTTTTGTTCTGTTGGTTTCCTTTGCTGTGCAAAAGCATTTCATTTTCATGTAGTCCCACTAGTTTAATTTTAACTTGCTTTCCTTGCCTGAGGAGATATCCCTATAAAAATGTTGCTAGAGCCAATGTCAAAAAATTAATACCTGTTTTCTTCCAGGATTTTTACGGTTTTAGTTCTCACACTTAGGTGTTTAATTTGTCTTGTGTTTGTGTATGGTGTAAGAAAATGAGGCCTTCAGTACTATGTTGAATAGAAGTGGTGAATGTGGACATCCTTGTCTTGTTCCTAATCTTAGAGGAAATATTCAGCCTTTCAACATTGAGTAGGAGGTTAGCTTTGTGTTTTTCATATACGGTCATTATTATGTTGAGGTATGTTGCCTCTACACCTATATTGTTGAGATTTTATTTTTTTTTATAGGCATTTTTTTTTAAAGATTTTATTTATTTATTTGAGAGAGAGAGAGACAGAGAGAGAGCATGAAAGGGGGGAGGGTCGGAGGGAGAAGCAGACTCCCCACCGAGCAGGGAGCCCGATGCGGGACTCGATCCCGGGACTCCAGGATCATGACCTGAGCCGAAGGCAGTCGCTTAACCAACTGAGCCACCCAGGCGCCCTATTGTTGAGATTTTATTACAAATGGATGTTGCATTTGCCAAATGATTTTTCTGCATCTGTTGAGATCATGTGGTTTTTATCCTTTCTCTAAATGTGATGTAGCATGTGACTGATTTGCAAATATTGAACCACAGTTGCATCCCTGGAGTAAATCACTTGACTGTGGTGAATGATTTTAATGTATTGTTGGATACCGTTTGCTAATATGTTGTTGAGGATTAATCTGATACCCAAAACCATATACAAATACTACCAAAAAACCTCCCCCAAACTACAGGCCAATATCTCTGATGAACCTTAATACAGAAATCCTCAACAGAATACTAGTGAGCCTCACATAAGATTTTAAACCTTTTAGCAAAAAAAAAAAAAAGTCAAAAAAAGCTGAATATAAATTTTATTTAACACACTATATACCAAAAATAATTTCACCAATATACAAAATTGAGATATTTTACATTCTCTGTACATCTTCAAAATCTTGGGTTTTATACTGATACCACATGTCAATTTGTATTAGCCATATTTTAAGGGCTCAATACCCACACTAAATTGTAGGAAAAGAAATTCCTCTGTATCTTTCCATTGTCTGGTCTTACTAATTTACTTGAGGACAAACGTGTGAATATCTGCTACTCCCCAAATTCTATATTCTATCATTACAGATTCGGATCAGGATATACTACTAGCAGAATTTAAATAGTAAAATTAAACCATGTGAGACCAGTGTTACATCGGACAGTAGAAAAATAGAAGCAGAATAGGTGCCATGTGAAGTTCATTTCAACCATTCATCCACTCAGAGATATTAACACAGCTAACAGTGAGTAGACAGTCTTGTTGTTAGTACTTACCAGAATTACTAATTTTCTGTATTTCCTTATATGTGTGCATCTGTATCTCCAATGACACTCCATAATGGAAGGAACTACATCTTTCCTTAGATGTGTTACACATAGCCATGGTCAGGTGGTCAGGTACTGTTAAATCAATGTGGCCATGCTTTATCAGCCTGAAGCAGCTTATTTCATTACTCATTGTTTTCTAGTAGTTAAAAAAGTCCACATTTTCTCAATGAAATTTTCTCTTAAACAATTTTTAGTACCTTAACCTAATCATCAAAAGTAGTTGAGAAAATCCCCCACTACGACTAATGGCATTTATGTTTTAATCAGTCAGACTCTGCTCCTCCAAATACAGCAAAAGCAGAATGGTTGAGGCACAAGTACAAGGAAATAACCTTGTCCATCAGCCTCCTCTCATCAACCTCCATCTGGAAGGAAAGAATAGTAAACAATGTTTCCTACCACAGTCAATAGTGGCTTGGTTCTTAAGAGCTCTGGAGACTTAACAGGAACGCCTTTGGCAAACCATTCTAAGTTGAACCACAGAATCACTGTAGTAGCCATGACCCCCTCCCCCCAAAAAAAACCAAACCAAAAAGCAAAAAACCTAAATTATGACTAAAGGTCAAACCTATTTAAAAAAAAAAAAAAACAAGCTCCAACTCATTCTTGAATGATATGAACTACACTGTATTACAAAGTCCTTTTGCCAGTCTTCAGAGTATAGGAATAATTTTATCTAATTTAGATGTAAAAACTGGGAAAATGTAAGACTTGAAAGAGTAGCTCTTACCTTTTTATTCTGTAACAATAAAATGGCAGTTTAATAATCCTGGCATTTCCTACAGTAATTATCACTGTAATAATTTAAGCACCAAAAACTCCTAATCAAATGTTTCCTGTTTTGTAGACTACGGGAATACACAAGCATTTCATACCATTCCCACATTTATTCATCTCTTGTATCTAAATCTTTAAAAAGCTGAATATTTAAAATGCACTAAAGAAAATTACTTTTCCCTTTTCTTTTTAGGTGAGTGTTCCAAAACTGGGGTAAATTCAGCTTCCTCACTGTGTTTCCTTTTCTTTTTTTTCTTCTTATGGTCACTCTGGTAACCACTGGAGTCACTGCCTTGGAAAACAGGATCCTGGTCCTGATCTTCCTGGTGCCTTTTCTTCTTTTTTGGCTCAGCCTTCCAGAGGCCATTCACATTATCAATCTGCAGGTCTGTCTCTTTCTTCATTGTGGCATCTGCACAATCTGCTAACTCTCTGTTATCACTTTCCACTTCATATGATTCTGGGTCTTTCTTCTTTTTCTTTTTCTTCTTCTTGAGAGGTTTTTCAATAATTTCTTCAGTACCAGTTTCTGTTACTTCCTCAGAAACTGCAGAGCACTTGGTTTGTAAACTAACAGTTGAAAAAATTTACAGAGCAATAAACAAAAAGAATACAATGAGATCAAGAATATACCAAGTGTTTTTTTTTTTTTCTAAATAACAACAGCAGTACAAGATATAGACGTGTGGCATAAATTTCCAATATTCTATCTTGTTATCCCTTAGCCCATTAAAATGTAGCTTCTAAATTTTGGTTTGGTTTAGAAAAATTAGGTCACAATAAACATCACCACACCCAGGCTTATTAAACAAATGACAAGTGATAAAATATATATTTCCATTATCTGTGAAATTAATGGAGTTTCTAACTCTCAATCCTCATTTTTTTTCCCATAACCGTGCTTGAAGCAGTATTACCTTCAAAGTTAAGAGTTAACACTAAAATAAAAACAAGGATCAGTGGAGTAGGCCTCTCTCTGGAACTGCAGAGTCCTATACAGAAACATTAGCTATGTATGACTAAGTAATTTCAATGAGGTAACTTTAATACTACACAAATAAAGCACACATTCCTATCATCACAGAAAGTTCTATTGGACAACTGTTCTAAAACTTTAACCCATAGTCTTAATATTTTTTTAGATTTTGCCTTGATTATTAACACCAGCAATATTCCCAAAGCTTTTTTTTTCCTTCACTCCATTAAACTTGGCTCCCATCGAACCAAGCTCAAGATGACAGTTCTTAAAAGAATTTTAATACAAAAAAGATTCAGAAATTATCTACCTGGCATAATGACAAAAATCAAATTTTTGTTTCAACTGTGTAAAAATAAGAGGCTTATAGTTATGCAGTATGATCAAGCTTTTGTTAAAAAAATTAAACTAGAAAATAGACTGATTAAAATAGGGAACAGTTAGATGTGTAGAGCTTTAGAATATTCAATGTAAATAGGAATCTTAAGTGCTGTGACAAAGTACTGACTTTATGGTTTGAAGCATGAATATTCTAATTTTATTTTAAAAGAGGGCCTTATATTCTCTAAATCATCAGAATTAAATAGAAATCATTAAGTATCAAAATTCAAAATAATGTGATTAGGAACTGACCTGGTGGTATTTAATTTTCCCCGAATGCAGAATACTCCAGCAGCATCTGAGTCCAAACGAAATACTTCAAATTCTAGTTCATCACCCACGTTTATCGTCAGGTTCTGCCACTGCTCTGCAGGCATCTGCTCAGGTTTAGGGATGGAGGCATTGAAACACCCATGTACTAAACAGCCAATGTGGCTGGAAGACAATTTATTAACTGTACCCTGGGAAGAAAGGAAAGGGAAAAGAAAAAAGTAACATCAAGAAATCCAAAGAGTTTAAAAGGTAAATAAAACTTTATAAGCTTCAAACTGATCTTCAAAGAGAAAACATCAAAATATGGTGTAATTTGATATGGAAAAAGTTTTTCAATTAAAATTTACATGTTATACTAAACCATCATTTTAGAACACTGTAGAGTTTAGAGAAAGCTCAAACTTTACTAAATGATTGCATATCAACTGCCTAACTGGATAAAAAAAACAAAAACTCCTTAGCTCCCGCCACAGGATTCCCTGGGGAATAGATTATAACCATATTGAAACCAAGCAGAAAATACTCTTTGATATGACCTAAATGTGAAAAGACCTCAAGGCAGGAAGCATATGCTTTCTATAACTAGGATCCACATTATATTTCTATCAACAGTCTGAATTTCAAAGCTTAAAGAGCATTCTTTAACTTTAGCATGATGTAAGCAATGTATCAGAAGACAGCTTACCCTTCATATGTAGAACTTGAGCATGGCTATTTTGACTGAATCACAATAACATTTTTAGAAGCTTTAAAACTAAAGTATGTGCTATATGATTTTAAGCTTAAAGTTTAAAAAAAAGCCTTAGTTTTTTCTTCCCCTAAGAATCAATATATATAACATATAAATGAACATCTGAAGTATTTTTTTTTAAATCATGTATTTTAAATTTGGAGATTAACATGTATAGAACCTTGTTTAATGTTGGCAACTCCTTATACATAGAAAATTCTTTGGGTGTCATTATCAGGAGTCTGGACAAACCACAGTGCATCTGTACAATGGAGTACTATTCAGCAGTTAAAAAAAAAAAAATTACCAAGCCGGTGACAAGACATGGAAGAACCTTAAATGCATACTGCTAAGTCAGAGATGGCAAGCTGAAAAGGCTGCATACAATATGATTCCAACTATGAAGTTCTGGAGAAGGTAAACTATGGAGACACTAAAAAAGATCAATAGTTGCCAGGTTTCAAGAGGAGGGATAGAGGGAAAAGGATAAGTACGTAAAATACAGAGAATTTTTAGAGCAGTGCCCAATTATTCTATAGAATACAGTAATGGGGGACACATGTCATTGTGTGGTACATTCCAGGGGTTTTAGAATGTACAAGAAAGAAAACTAATTCTACACTTTAAAAAAAATAAATAATGTATCAATATCAGCTTAACTGTAGCAAATGTTACCACACTAATGCAAGATGTCAATAATAGGAGTAACTGTGTGCGCTGGGGTGGGGGAAGGACTTACTTTCAACTCAATTTTTCTGTAAATCTAAAACTGCTATAAAACAATAAAGCCTATCAGTTTAAGATAATAGGAAAAGGAAATTCTTTTCAATATAGAGTTCTGGAACAACTGAATATAACCATATGAATAAGAAAATGGATCTCAAGGGCCTATTTCACCCTACACACAAAAATTAAGATTGGTCATATATCTAAATGGAAAAGCTAAAACTGAAAAATTCTACAAGGCTTACAGAAACTATCTTCACAATCTAGGAGTAGGCAAGTTTCTTATACAGGATCCAGAAAGCAGTAACCATAAAAATATGACAAATTGGACCTCATCAATATTAAAAACTTCTGTTTATGAAATGATACCATTACAAGTTAAGAGACAAGTCACAGACTGGGGGAAAAGAGTCTCAATACATTTATCTGAAAGGGATTTGTAGGAAGAATATAAACAGAACTATTCTACCTCAATAATACAAAAACCCAATTAAAAATGGGGAAGCACTTGAATAGGCCCCTTACTGAAACACATGAAAGAGCTTAAAGGAGAAATGCAAATTAAAATCATAAGGAGAAACTAGTATATGCCCGTAAGTTAAATTAAAAGACAAAACCAAATGCTGCTTCTAGTTTTTCCTAGGAGAAATGAAAACGTACATTCACAGCTTTATTCATAATGGCTTCATACTGGAAACAACCCAAATGTCAATCAGTAAAGATGGGCAATTAAATTATGATACATTCATACAAGTGAATACCATGAGCAACAAAGAGAAATAAACTACCACACCAAACAGCATGGATGAATGCAAAAACATGTTGAGCAAAAGAGGTCAGATTTTCAAACACTGTATAATGAAAAAGTCCATTAATATGAAATTATAGAACAAGCAAAACTAATTTTATAATATATGCAATCAGAACAGTGGTTGTATCTGGAATAGAGAGGACTGACCTGGAAAGGGCAGGAGGCTCGTTCCAAAATAGAACGGTATATATGCTCTTATCAGAATTCACTGAACTGCACACTATGATCTATGTATTTTGTTGTATGTAAACTATACCTCATATTAAAAAAACTGAAACAAACTGTCCAAATTTATTTGAAGACTGGACCTTATTGTAGGAAATAGAGTAAAAGGACGGAGTTTTTTTTTCATTTCATACTTTCTGTATAGTATGGTATTTCTATGTGTACATTTACAGTAACTTACACAAAGCTGGTAAGTGTGGGAATTTAAGTACAAATCTGCCAACTTTATCAGAGAAGAAAAGTTATACTATAACCATACTATTGGCATGGAGGCTGGTTGTGGGATCCCAGTTGGGCAGGCCCAAGATACTTGTTTAATTGATTCTGAAAAATTTTTAAATTAGAAATGCCTTTTGGATAAAATTTGACCTGTATTTATTAGCGATAAAGGGTTAATAGTTCTTAAAAAAATAAACGTGTATATATATTTATATGTATGTGCAACAAGGCATATACACAGAACTGCTGGCAGAAGAGAAAGGCAAGTGCAGAGCATAATGGGATATATAGTTCAGTCAACTTCACAAAAATCTGTATTTCCAGATTCCTCTTGAAAAACTAAAAGACCTATCCCACAGGGCCTTTATTCCCATGGCACATTACAGGTGCCTTGACCTCATCCTTAATTCACTTTCATTACCTGCCTGGTCCCACAACCCTTTGAATTTTCAACTCCTCTGATTACTACACGATTTGAATCCTTTATAAAAGAAACTATTTGTGTGTAATTGAGAAATAATAAACTAATAATAATTTTTTTTTAACAGCTTAAGATCATTCTGGTGCTATCCAAAGAATAAATTCTGAGACACATTCTTTCCACATACATGTGAGTTTAAGGAGAATGGAGTTTAAAAACTTACCAATGTTGAACTGATGGTAAATTTTTTTCTTTAAATTTTTAGAAACCAATAATAGTAATCCATTTGCTTCCCAAGTCTCTTAAAATTTTCCAAATTATATTACTATACAAGTATACAAAGAAAGCTTAAAAAATATACATATATATAAAAATACATACCATAAGCTTTTGCCCCGGTTCAGGACAGAAAATAATAAAATCTGCTTCAATGTTAAGATGAATGTGTCCTTGATCATCATAAATATCTCCCAGTTCACCCACTACTTTGATGTTATCATATGCAATGGGGACACCTAAAAGGCTATTAAAAAAGAAAAAAAAAATTTTATCCTCTTTTAAACTAGGCAATTATCATACTGATTAAATATACTGAGTCCAAAAAATAATACACCTCTTAAATATAACCACACATGCCAAAACACAAGAGCATATGATTAATCCCTAACTACCTGAGTAATTCAATTTCACCAAAAGGTTCCAATATATTGACTAAGTTAAAAATGATTATTCAAGATAGGTACCGAGAAACAAAATGTCCAATTATGCATGAGCAAGAGGTTGACCTATTAGCTATACATTTGAATTCTAGTCATGCTAGAATGAGACAAAAAAAAGACTTGCAAGAAAAATGTCTCTATTTCTGAGTATAACTGAATCAAGGCAATTTTGGTATTATCCACCATTACTGAATTTCTATACTAAATGGTCCATAGTAAGAGAAGTATTGGGAGTCACAGGTGAAGCCCCTAAATATTAAAGCCAATAACATAAGGGAGAAAAATCCTCAAACTACAACTGTTAGTAATAAATAGAAATGTTAATAAGTGAAATATGTAGTCTTATTTATCAAGAACTGATTTTGCTACTTTAGTCTACATATTATGACAGAATTAGGGGGCAACTACTATTTCAAAATGTCATTTCCAAATACTTAAACTTTAACTACTAAGGAGGCACACCTGGTGGCTTCACTACCACACCCACTACTTCTACTTGTTGAAGAAAAGTTCCCAGACTCCCCAAGGCAAGGCTGAAATCACTCCTCCTGCACTCCTAGAAGACACTATGGCACAGCGTCATCATTGAATTTAATCTCATTTTATTGACTATCTGTGTATCTTTGCATTCCATACACAAATCTAAGGCCCTTTAGAGCACAGAACATTTTTGTTGAACTCTACTAAATTTCTAAAACTATTCACACAGCATAAGAGAAAGAATTTATCCCTAGTAGCTGTTGCTTAAATAAAACAGCCAGGAACCACTGGAAAGGAACTTTAATAACTATCAAATCAAGAGGACCATAAACTCAGAGACTTAACTCAGAGACTTCCTCCAGAAAGCATTTTTTTCAACTGTTAATTTCTGCATATGTTTTCCCAAGCAGGAACTACATCACTAGGACAATCTTAGAGGCACAGAAAACCCAGAAGTCTACATGACCTCTGAATGAGGGAACAAATGGGTTTGTAAATAGGTGGACAGGGGCGCCTGGGTGGCTCAGTTGGTTAAGCGACTGCCTTCGGCTCAGGTCATGATCCTGGAGTCCCTGGATCGAGTCCCGCATCAGGCTCCCTGCTCAGCAGGGAGTCTGCTTCTCCCTCTGACCCTCCTCCCTCTCATGCTCTCTGTCTCTCATTCTCTCTCTCGCAAATAAATAAATAAAATCTTTAAAAAAATAAAATAATAAAATAAATAAATAAATAAATAGGTGGACATATAGAATCTAGTTCTAAATATATATAAATATCTAGATATATATATATGTCTGTCCATATACTTATTTATATATATATACACACATGCACGCACACACACACACACACATACATCAGCATAAAGTCATGTTTGCATCATTTTAATATACATTAAAACTTCCAGGAATGTAGTAGCAAATTCAAGGGTGGATTATTAAGTAGGGAACTCTACTGAGAACTACTCATTACTTCAGAAAAGCATTTCACCAGTGGAGACACTATGTGTTCTCTGAGTTGTCAACTCAAAACCCCTGCGTCAATCCACCCTTGTAACAGACACACTGACGATTCTAGGGATCAGTGCAAACTAGTCATCCTTGAGCATTATCACACTGAAACATATTTTATGGTATCATGTTGGAGCACTTACAGGTTTGTTTTTTTTTCCAATTGTGAAGGTAGGTTATATTACCTTTAAGTTTCAATTCACAGTAAAGATGTATTTTCATGATAGTAAAGGTAGTAATGCAAACTACTTCCTATAAGAGAGAAGTATTGGGTTCTGTAGGGTTCAAAATTGGTAACTTGGGAATGTGACCATAGAGCCTAAACCCAAAAGGATTTGGGTAAATACATAAAACCCTAAGAAACCATTCATTGGACATCTAAATTTTTTTCCAAATAAAATACTGAAAATATTGATTACGAAACATAACGTTTATCTACTTCTGTCTTATTACGGAAAAAGTAAAGATAAATTTGGATCTGTTCATAAACATGTTTTATGCTTACTGAAAGATTGTACCATAGAGGGGGACTAACCTTAGGAAGGAGGGACTGACCTTAGGAAGGAGGGACTCTGTGAGGGCAGAGAGGGGAGAGAAGACCTGCCCCAGGCTCCCCAGGTTGGGGGGCTGCACTGACAAGACAAATCCCCATAACATTTGGTTTTGAAAACCGGAGGGGCCTGGCTTCTCCCGTTTTTTTTTTGTTTTTGGTTTGTTGTTGTTGTTGTTTTTTAAACAATCAACAGGACTTAACACCTAGAGCTTTAAAAATCAGCAGCCTCAATACATTAAGAGGCAGGAGGGGGACAGAAAACAGAGTCCCTGCCCTTAAAGAGACAGAACAGATAGTCCCGCTGACATACAGCAAAGCAGCAGCAGTTTGAAAAATGCCTGGGGTATACAGGAAAGAGATTTATTTAATAATCTCAGAGCATGGGCTGAAGAAGCAGGGAACTTCAGGAGATTTCTCCAAGAACAAAAGAGCTGGTGGGCACCACTTCCCTCCCCAACACCTGCCCCCAGCCTAAATACAGGGACAGCTGCAGGACCCAGCAAAGCACAACAATCTACACCTAGCTTGCTAGAAGCATGCCCCAGCCACACATTTATGTGGATCCACCCCCTCCAGCCCTCTGCAGTTTTCCCAGGCGGCTTTAGCTCCCCTCCCATAGCAGATCAATGTAGTAGACCTTGCTGGTACTGGATGCAGCACAACCAGCTCCCTTGTTCTCCTGCAGATCTTGGCTGAAGCCCATTCAAAGCAGTGCCACAAGCCCCAACAGGGGCCAGCACCACTCCAAAGTGACACTTGCCCCTGGGAGAGGGAAAATAACAGCACATACCCGTCCAGCTGCAGCCCCAGCAGTGGATTGGGGACAGACATTGGTCTAACTGCAGACCCAACCCACCAGCAAAAGTTGCTCAGGTGACCACACAGGGAAAGCACCCTTGAGCTTGGTGCTTCCACAGCTCTGGCAAAAGACTGCTCTGGCTCAATTCAAGCCCAAGGTGGTCCCAGACTAGCCCACTAACAACACATGGACCAAACCCTGCCCACACAGGCAAAGAGAGCCATTGCAGACGACTGGACTGAAGGAAAACATGTCTCAGCCACAAAAGCAGGGCACACACAACACACATAATAGACACCCTGAACTGCCAGGTTCTGGTGAATAGGAAACATTGCACTGCAGGGCATTACAAGACCTCTTGTATTTAAGGGCATTACTTTCAAGAGCAGATGACTTTCCTAACAGACACAGAATTAAACAAAATGAGAAGGAATATGTCCCAAATGAAAGAACAGTACAAATTCACAAGAAGAGAGCTAAACGAAATGGGATAATATACTTGATAGAGAAAATAATGATCATAAAGATGATCACTGGATTTGAGAGAAGAGTGGAAGACATCAGTGAGACCCTCAACAAAGAAACAGAAAACATAAAAAAGAAACAATTAGATATGAAGAACTTAATAAGTGAAATTAAAAATACCCTAGAGGGAATAAATCATAGCTGGAGGATGCAGAAGAATGGATCATGGACCTTGAGGACAGCATAATGGAAAGCAATCAAGATGAACAGAAGAGAGAAACAAATAATAAAAAGTGAAAATGGATTAAAGGAACTGAGGACACTATCAAGTATAATAACATTTACATTATGAGGATCCCAGAAGGAAAAGAGACAAAAGGGAACAGAAAATTTATTTGAAGAAATAATAGCTGAAAACTTACTGAGTCTGGGGAAGGAAACAGACATCTAGATCCGGGAGGCACAGAGGGCCCCAGACAAAAGCAACCTAAAATGTCCACACCAAGACACACAGTAATTAAAGTGGCAAAAAATGATGATAAAAAGAGGATTTTAAAAGCATCAAGAGAAAAGAAAACAGTTACATATAGAAAACTCCATAAGGCTATCAGTGGAGTTTTCAGCAGAAACATTGCAGGTCAGCAGAGAGTGGCTTGATACATTCAAGGAAAAAGAAAAAAAAAAAAAACAGCCACGAGGATACTCTATTCAGAATAGGAGAGAGAAAGGATATCTCAGACAAACAAAAGTTAAAGGAACTCATCACTAGTAAACATAACAACATAAGAAAGTAATCAATAATAATACAATAATAGTAGAAGACTTTAATACCCCACTTCCATCAATAGATAGATCATCCAAACAGAAAATCAACAAACAGTGACTCTGAATGACACACTGGAACAGATGGATCTAACAGATAAATGCAGAACATACCATCCTAAAACAGGAAACATACATTCTTTTCAAATGCACACAGAATATTCTCCAAAATAGGTATGTTAGCTCATAAGTCTCAACAAATTCAAAAAGACTGAAGTCATACTATGCATCTTTTCCAAACTTAATGCTATCAAAGTAGAAATCAACCAGAAGAAAAAAATCTAAAAGAACACAATTAAGTGGAGATTAAGTAACATGCTACTAAACCGGGAATGTGTCAGTCAAAAAAATCAAAGAGGAAATAAAAAATTACACAAAGACAAACGAAAATGGGGGCGCCTGGGTGGCTCAGTCGTTAGGCATCTGCCTTCAGCGCAGGTCGTGATCCCAGGGTCCTGGGATAGAGCCCCGCATCAGGCTCCCTGCTCCGTGGGAGGCCTGCTTCTCTCTCTCCCACTCCCCCTGCTTGTGCTCTCTCTCTCGTTGTCTCTGTCAAATAAATAAATAAAATCTTAAAAAAAAAAAAAAAAGACAAACGAAAATGAAAACACAATGGTCCAAAATGTTTTGGGGATGCAGTAAAAGCTGTTCTAAGAGGGAACATTATAACACTACAGG